TCCACGCAAACACACACAAACTGTGCATTTATTAAAAATAGTTGAACTTCTATTATTACTTCGTCTGTAACGTCAGTTTGGTTCATTATGATTCGAACGAAATGTTAACTTAATTATGGCTTCGGAAAAACATCGATTATTCTGATACTCGATGAACATGCAAATTTTATAGTTTTATCGTTTATGAAACTCGTAAGAAATAATAATTCCCATTGATGAAACTCGGAGGAAATAATTGATGGAAGATGGTGGTTTATTCGATGCTTTAATATCAGTGGTAATATTTTCCAGTGATTTATCGCACCTCACATTACAGTACATATTGTGTCACGCTCATAATTTATAACGACAATATTGAAATTGCATAATACCTAAACAAACTGCATTTGTAGGATCGTGATAAGGGTGTGGCCCGAATACATTTAGCCGAAACTATAGAAGAGCTTAAAAAATTCAATGCTAGACGAAAACTGAAGGAATCTGTGAAAGCGGCAATCTCATCAGCAAAATGGCACATCCCGTATTCGGAAATTAATGGTGACAGCTTTTTCGACATAGGGGACGACGAAGTTATAACCACAGGTACAAATATGTTCAAAAAAGAAAAAAGAAAATCTTTACGTATTGATTAGTAAATTATAGATAAATGGGGTGAGAATTTAGAATTTGCCTGAACGAAATCACACAGTAAGTGTCTTAACTAAGTGTCCTATAAATTTCTAATACTTTTGTATAGTTATTGGTATTTTCCTACAATATTTACTTGAAGATTACTTAATCGTTACATCGTAATTATTCCATTTACAAATATAATTCATTAATCGATGGTTTTTTTTTTTATTTTAATTGCATTTAATTGAATTTTATAGTAGAACTTATTACTATATTATACCATATTTGTATGATTTCGCATGAATTAAAAGTATGCGATGAAATATGTCAATATTGTTAAGGATACTTTGTAATTCACTGATTATGCGCAACAATATGAAATGTTCTAAACATAAAATTCTTTCGTAGGTGCTGTAGCTGAAATTTTAGACTCTCTGGATGATATTGAAGTACTTCAAGAGAGTGGAAGACTGACAGGTGACGTGATACTTAATGCAGTCAACGATTATCGTCTTCGAGCTATTTTAGAGGTATGGACTCTTTAAAGGTATTAGAAATTATATTATTCGTTCTATTAGTAAATCTTGTTAAAGATGTACAACGAAATAGTACATGAAGTACAGTTCCCAAATTTTTGCAAAGATGAATTGTCTCGATTACTTTAGGTGAACTACAAATTTACCTTTCGTAGATTTCTTTGTTCACTGTTTTGCATAAATTGAAGCACGTACGTTAAAAAATTGGTAAAATGTTGCAAAAGAATCGTAACGACAAACTTTAAATAATGTAGTAAGAGAAGGAATTTTTTTCACTTATTTTTTATTGACGTAGGAGTCAAATTTATCGGTGTTACATGTTTCTTATAACAAAGTAGCATCTTAGGGTTAACGATAAGGGATATTTCTCAAGATTCGTTAAAAATGTCGAATATCAATATTTCTAAAAGCTAGATTCGCATATTCCTATACGCATTTAATTTTCATCAATATAAATTTTCACTACAGTCGTCTTTTTAATATTCACATGACGTATTTTACTTTACCAACAATCGACGTGGTAGTTTTCTCACGGTGTGGCGCCACCGTTGCTTTCTCTCGTCTTCAAGGTCATATCCTTTTCAAATCTACTCGCCCCACGTATCTCTTATCATGTTTATATCCTGAGGGAAGAGGTACGCGCCCTCATTTTAGCCGGGAAAAGGGCGCAAGCGCTCGACCCCGATTATCAAGATGGCTGACGTGCTAGTCTAATAAACAAAATGCTATACAGGACCGCGGAGTCACTGATACTTGTCCTTCAACAGGCAGATGTTTATATACATCTCCTTTGTGTTACATAAAAGGACACATGGGGTTGTGTAAACCACATGTCGGGGTTATGACAGAAGTTTCGTAAACAAAAATGCACCTTTGCCAGTTAATGTTCATCGGCGAAGTAGAACTGGCCGGTGACCTCCTTGAAATTACTCGTCTCTTGGTAAGTAACTCGATACCAAGGGAATATGGCGGGTAACGATCCCTCCATTGGTTTTGTATTTTCTTTCGTCGGTAATGTAAACAATACCGTCGTCCCATTCGGCACACACGGTATATACTCAATACAGCGTGACGTGATGGGACATCTAAAGGTTCCACGACGAACTAGCGTGTTTTCCCGCGAATACGATTAGTGCGTGGTTGGTAGGCTTGACAGTTGGATCGGTGAGAAGCAATCGGAATTATTTGTGTAATTTCAAGATTCGATACTTAAGCTTGAACAAGTTTCATTCTTTCAAAATTGTCAATGTAAGTATCGTGTTACTTAACTAGCTGTTCGTAATTTCAATCTACTATTTATTGGGAACTGTATTTCGAAATAGTAATAGAGCAACGATGTAGAATTTGTAACGGACCATATGTCACGATGAACGTATATACGTAGCATAGACTGTTAGTCTTATTGTTAGACAATAACTAATGCGTTTACTGTTTGAAAGTAGAATATACTCCTAGTCTCGAAAATTCCGCAGAATGTATAACGTGGTTATTCTTCTTTTAGCTTTATGACAGGATTTCGACTCGAGTTCCAACACCATGTCGAGCACCGCAAACAGACGCAGTTCAGCGCGCGCGAGAAGTGGAAGAGCTTCTTCGAGAAATACAGCATTCAACAATACGAAACATCGATAGGGCGGATCTCCGGGAGCTCCATGAACTTTTGGTCCAGCCGCATATGAGGGTAAGTCTTGGAGTAATTTATTCTAATATTACATATACGTCGTATAATAATATTTTTACATTAACAAAATAAATGGCCGATTAAGTGAGGCAGCACGTGTTACGCTGTTAATATCTGACTAGTTCTCGAACTAAATATTAATATTAGAAATATTATCAGAGAGAAATAGTAGATTATTGGATCTTGATTTATGGCTTAGGTGTGTAATAAGGTAAGAAAAGTAATTACAGTGTGTAATGAAGAGTATATAATTTTTCCTATCTCTGGGAAAATTAGTTTCGAAAATTTCTAGGTTAATACGAAGTGTGATTCAGAAGAATGTAATTTAATACCCAGGTTTCTAATTGTACGTTAGAAATAATGTTTAGTTTAATTGACTTAAACTTTCGATCTTGCTGGAGTGAGGGAAATATTTGCACTTAGTCGAGAAAGTCTTTAGTTAAAAAATAATAATGCGTTTGAATATTGTTTACCTATACAATAAACATTCATTTTTACTGAAGTACAATATTGTTGAAAGCAGAACTATGTACTTTATAGTTTTTGTTCAAATTTGAAATGCTTTATGGTTTCATGCATTAATTAGTGCAAAGACATACTGTGTTCAGCACAGTTCTGTTCCAGATGAGAAATTCGAGATTTTAAGGTCATCTTCGTTTTTTTCACAACACTAGATCCAACGACATACTATGTATGCATCCTCCAAGTTCATTTAGGGTTGTTCAGAGTGACTTCAGGTTAAGTTACATGATTCTAACATTAAAAGATTGCCTTCAATCTTACACTAATCAGTTTTATTATTATGAAATAGCTGCATTAGAAACTAATTTTCAATTACCATAGAATCCTCTTCTTAAAGCAAAGTCAAATGATTTATTGATTTAACTGTTGTTGGTGCCTGTAGGCGTTTTAAAAAGGAGGATGTTAAACAAACAGAATTTGCATTTCTTAACTGTGTATCCACTATGAAAGCCAAAGGAAAAAGTATCATCTTACATATCAGTCTAATGTATGAAATCCGCGTAGTTGGGAACTATCCCCCGGTTTTACGGAAAACTGAAGTCTGATCATCTACACTGCGTGTCAATTGTCGTATATTGTCGTTAGAATAATAACAAACGAAGTAGGTCGTGTGTAAAGACTTAGTTGTTTACTAAGAGACAGTGTTTTTCCAGAAAAGGATAGAATATGTATATGTCTCGGGGAGACAACAGTAAAAAAACTAATTTGTTGTTGTTTCATAGCTATAACACATCTTATTACAAGAAAAATAAACTTAGGATACGATAAAACGAAATTGTTGCGGTAATTAATCTAATTAGCTATACGTAGGCTCTCCTCTATTTTCAATTAACTCAATCATTCGATTGTGTACGTATATGTACATATATATTATTCACGCATACACATACTGTGGAACTGTAGCTGTGTAGCTCGCAGGGACACGCTTCTCCTTTGATTTTTCTTCCAAGCTGAGCTTCTTGTATGCAGCGGCACTTAATTCGCGCGAACGAATATGCTAAGTACGTAAATTGATTGGAAATCCGCGTATAATCGAAAACGCGTTATTCGATGTATTCCCTACCAGATTATAATCGCGCAGTATAAGCGACGTTCGTCGAGGCACTCGTTCGACAGCCTAGTAAACACCGACTAAGGACGAGTCGTCCTGCCCGATTTCTGATCGCTGTACGTTCGCAACGGTTCTGGGAAAAATTCTAGGCTTTAACTTCTTAGAACTCGGGATATTTCTTGCGAGCCAAACATAAGA